GCTCCTTCCCCAGATGGTCAAGTGCCTTGTTCCGCATCTTTCAAGGCTTTAGTCAAGTGTCTCTTCCTCAGAGACCCGTCCAGACCACTCTGCCAACATCGTGTCACCTCCCCACCCGCCCCACTCTGCTCCCCCTTCCCGGCCTTTCTCATGCGCTTACGGATGCATAGCGGATGTGCCTATATTTCACTTATTTTGTTTATGTCCAGCTCCTCCCACTGCAAGATGAGCTCTAAGGGGGCCAGGGCTGTGGTCTCACTGATTGTTCTCAGCACCCAGAACAGTGCCGAGACCCAGCAGATGGGGAATCAAGATTTGGCGCCTCGCCTTTCATTTGCTTTCCGTCCTTCCTCGCCTCACTCCCGCTGCCCTCACTCACCCAGCTGGTAAGAGACAGATCCAAGATTCAAGGCCAGGCACCCAAGCAGGAAGTCTAACTCCAGGGCCACGCGGCTGCCACTGCTACTATCACTACTGCCACTACTGTCCTCCTCCTACCACCACTCACCACCACCACCACTAGTCCTGCCACTACTGGTGCTGCCACTGCTACTATCACTACTGCCACTACTGTCCTCCTACTACTGCCACTCTCACCACCACCACTAGTCCTACCACTACTGGTGTTGCTACTGCTACTATACTATTACTACCACTACCCCCACCACTACTAGTGCTGCTACTATACTATTACCACCACTCCTACTATTACTGCTATTGCTACTATACTATTACTACCACTACCCCCACCACTACTAGTGCTGCTACTATATTATTACCACTACTCCTACTATTACTGCTATTGCTACTATACTATTACTACCCCTATCACTACCACTACCAGTGCTGCTACTATATCACCACCACCACCACCACCACCACTACTAGTAATACAACTATTGTTTCTTCTTGGAGCCTCCCATGCAAAGGCCCAAGGCGAGCGGCAAGTTAAGGAGGGTACATTCCCTACCGTCCCTACAACCAGCGGCTTCACCTTCCCCTTGGCAATAGCACTCTTTGTTGGGACAAAGGAAAGAGTGTCATTTCCGGTCGGCAGAGACACCAATGCACATGGAAATAAAGATCATCAACGAGAGTGTCGGTTCCTGAAATTTATACTCAAAAATTTCCTTAAGAATACATGTAATTTTACAAGACCACTCATCATAGCACCAAGCCTAAACTTCCTTAATAGAAAACAGTCAAAAATACTCCAGTTAATTTCCCACAGGTATAAATTATGCAAATAGTCATTAACATCTTCATTTACAATCATCAATAAATAAGAGTGCACATTCATACAATTGTTTTTACAAAGATCCCTTTTTACAAAGCTACGGCGATATATATACTAAATCGACAAAATAACCCTCGTACTACAAAATAACATCCCGCTTTTCTCAATAGTTCTCTTGGAGGCCTCGGCGAAAACCCTCACACACTGTCCATTATGTCCTGCCAGGGCATTAAAAGAAACTGTAGCACGAAACCTGCTAAACACATGACAGACCTTGAAAAGATAAACGCCCGTCACCATCCAATACAACATCCTCTGAGCCAACTCCCGTGTCCAGGGTTCGGCCTTTGTCCTCGTGGCGCGCGGACGAGGATTTTGCCACCTTCCGTCTTTGGCTGATGTCACCAGCAGCACGCGAGGGATGCAGGCAGCTATCTCAGGTGCAGGTTCAAGGGCAAAGGGCTCTTAGGCACCCCTCCCCCACCAGTACCGTGCCCCCTGCAGGAACAGGCCACACCAACGTGCCAGCCTTTGGCTTCAGGGACCCGATGCCAGCATGCCAAGGGCCTCTGACTCCAGAGGACTTCCTGTGCCCAGGCCCCGAGTCTGCTGGGGGAACGGGAACAAGATGGGAGGAGCAGGCAGGGCTAGTGAGTAAAAGCTATTTATTCCTGCGGCTGAACTTCTCAAATCGAAAGACATTCCCCGGGGAAACTGCACCTGATGCTTAGGGAAACCCCGTTCGTTCTAGGAGCCCGAGGAAGGAGATCTCCCACGTTCTCTCGCAAACTCTCATCCCCACACCTTTAACATAAACTACCTTTTATTTACTAAACCTTCCCAGGCACTTTCTTAAGATACAAAGCAGGAAGAATGCCCTAAGCTTTGGCATTCGCTTGCCAATACAGAGGTACATTTATTTTTAAGCAAATAGGCCACGAACTGAGCTTTTATAAAAATAATCTAAACTTGCTAAGATTTAGATTTTAAAATCTAGGGCTTTTCAAAAGAAGTCTTCCAATGCCCAACCCAGAGAGGTGAATGGATTATTCAAGGTGTCAGAGCAGGGGGGCCGCAGCCAGGATGCCGGCTCCTGGTGCCCAGGCAGCTTGTCCTGGTTTGGAACAAAGCCAGCTCTCTAGGTTAGACTCTCGCAGTGTTCCCTTTTAAAGAGCGTTCCCAGCCTTGCATGGCATTCAGGGATACAAACGCGTTGTGGCCGCCCAACCCACAGCATACTTGGCAGAGAATGTGCTCATATAGACTTGCGGTGGGGTGGATAGAAGTGGTGGCTGTTGCAAAAATTATGACTTTTAAACTTAAATAAAAATTACGATACCCATCTCAGACCAACCAATCGTGACGTCATCCAGGTAGTCCATGCTCCCCATCTCACGAAGACTGTGCTCCACCTCGTCCGTGCTCCCCATCGCACGGGGACGGTGCTCCCCATCCCACGGGGACTGTGCTCCCCATCCCACGGAGACTGTGCTCCACCTCGTCTGTGCTCCCCATCCCACGGGGACTGCGCTCCGCCCCCTCCATGCTCCCCATCCCACGGGGACTGTGCTCCGCCCCCTCCATGCTCTCCATCCAACGGGGACTCTGCTCTCTATCCCACGGGGACTGTGCTCCCATCCCACGGGGACTGTGCTCCACCCAGGCCGCTGAGATGAGCGTTTTCTGAGAGCCCACCTTCCTACTCTGAGAAGCACCTGCTAGTGGTGGAGAAGCGATGAGCAGGGGAGGGGACAGGTTGCACAGTTAGTACTGAAGTCTTCCATGTCAAACACTGAGGTTTTACTACTAAGGGCCCCTCTGAGGCATCTGGTTGTGAATTTGCAACCATAGGCTGAAACCTGAAACCGGCGCCTCCGCAGTCACTTTCCTGTGAGCACAGGAGGACTAAGAGGTGTGGGTGGGACCAACACTTGGGAGCGGGTGATGGAGGCTCCCACCTCCTTCCGTCCACTTCAGACTTGGGTGGGGAAGCTGACCACAGGCGGGTCCCTGGGCAGAGGCCCGAGGGAGGTCTCCCAGCAGAGAGGAGAGGGCCCGTCTCTGAACTCTGGTGGGGTTTCTGGAGTCGTCCTGGATGTTCGAGAAAACCCGAGCTTAACCGAGAGTTCCTATGATGCACTCCAGCTGCAGAGCCACAGGCAGACCACAGTGGGGGGGGGGGGGGGGGGGTTATTTTCCTATTTTCCCCCTGAAAATTCTGTATCCAGCCACGCCTGGGAAAAGGCAGAACGAAGATATTTGAAGTTATGCAAAAATCCCAAAATTTTACAATAGTTAATTCCCATGTTCCTTTTCTTGAGAAGTTATTAAAGAATGTGTCAGCCCGGCCGGCGTGGCTCAGTGGTTGAGCATCGACCTATGAACCAGGAGTTCACAGTTCGATTCCAGGTCAGGGCACATGCCTGGGTTGTGGGCTCGATCCCCAGTGGGGGGCGTGCAGGAGGCAGCTGATCCATGATTCTCTCTCACTACATTATATATATATATATATATATATATATATATATATATATATATGAATGCGCCACATCAAAAAAATAAAAAAAAATAAAATCAACACTAAATTTGACAGGAGAGAACACGTAAGCACAGTACACACCAAGTGATTCAGGGGCAAACAGTCCTATACAGCCCCACTGAACAGCGATGCACCAAACAGTATGATCTGACTGCCCTGGCGAAGCAGAGAGAGCCTCGTCTGCCATAAAGCAAGTGATGCTTCTAAATTAATTAAACAACAAAAGCATGAGCATGCTCTGTAGAAACGCAAAAGCAAGCATTAGAGTGGAAAGCGTTACTTCTAAGAGAGCAAGACTGGGGGGGCGCAGTTCCTGGTTCTCATTAAGAGCCTCACAGCCTTTTCTTTTTAAACTATGAACATGTATTCCTTGGATAAGAGTCTAAATTGTTTTTAAAAATTAAAACCCTTGGGGTGGTTTGTCCTGCAGGCTTCTCTATCCACCTTTTATATCCAGCTTCTTCCCTGTGAGCCTTTACTCAAATGAGAAATGTTTTTTCCTTAAAAAAAGAATGCAGTTTGCTGCCAACCCGAACCCAATGACTCTTAGGCATCCGGCCAGTGGACGGCTTTAAACAATATTACAAGCTGTAACGGGTGAGAGTGCAGCCTGCGGGGGGTTTTCTGAACGAGGCCTAGACCGTAAATGAAATGGCTGGACGTTGGGTCGGCCCTTCCCCGGGCGTTCGAGCGCCTAAGCGAGGCGAGCACGCGTGGTGCTCAGGGTTGTAAAACACCCCGGCGTCATCTTTAGTATCTGTGCCGCTGAGCCTTCGCCGATGCCAGGCGCTAATTAGCTCACTTTCCACGGACACGCGGCCTGCAGGATGGAATCGCTCCAGGCTCCCGCAGCTTTCGGCGGAGAAGGCTCAGGCCGGTTCGCGGGGAGAAGGCAGGCTCGAATCAGAGCGGGGTAGAGGCTGGGCCGCGCGAGTCCTTTTGGCCAGGCTGGGGTTCTGTCAACTTGAACCTCGCTGCCTGACATACACGAGTCCTTGGCTTTGCGAGAGCCACACGTGGTTCCTGGAGTGAGAGCAAGGCTGGTCTGTCCGCGGCCAAGGGTCCCCAGCAGGAAGCGGGGGCGGGCTTGAGAGTGAATAGAAACTCTTCGTGGGAACATCCGAGAACGAATCAGAGGCTGAAAGTTGGCCTAAAAATCCTGGTTTTGCTTCCAAGAAGGTCATTCTTATCTAACCATTTTCTCTTTTTTTTTTTTTTTTTCAGGACATTCATGGGCACAATGGGAGTTCCCTGAAAGGGGTGACTCTGGGCTGGGCGCCGGGTGGCCTGGGGTGCTGGCACGTCTGCTCCTGGGGAGGTGGGCAACTTTGGCCAGTCCCCTCTGCCTCTCAGGGTTCAGCGGACCAGATGCTGTCTGAGGGTCCCTCCTGGCCTGACCGCTTGTGGCTGACAAGTGTCACCTGACTTATGCTCTCCGGGGAGGAAGCCACACGGCCCCGGGACCTGCATCTCTGCAGGAAGCAGGCGCAGAGGGAGCCCAGCTGGAGGGTGGGAGGGCGGCTGGGTGCCCTCTCCTCTCCCAAACCGCCTGCCTTTTCGGGAAACCGTTGCGAAGGACCACAAAGGATGCCCGAGCCGAGACCGCACGCCCAGGCAGGAGCGCCAGGCTGTCTGGGCAGGACCTGCTGGACCACGTCCATCTGCACCATCAGCCGGAGCTGGTTCCTGGCCCAGCCTCTTCTGTAGTCGTCCTTCGGCATCTGCAGTGCCAGGTGGGGCCTTGGGGGTTAGCACAGACTCCCCAGGAGCCCCCCACGGAAGCCAGGGGGCTGCCCGGGCAAAGTGGGAGGGGTCCCAGGCCCGCCCCGCGTCAGCCAGACTATCATCTAGACTGCCCACACTCCGCCCCAAGAATTCATTTGAAAGGAGGGTTCCGTTGGTGGAGAAGATCTGAAGATCCAGCTCTACCCCAAACCAATCAACGCAGAAGTGAATTAAAACGCACCCCTCCCGCTCAAAACACACACCGCGGGCGAAACAGCGCCAGCGCCCCGCAGCTCACGCACAGCGGTCGCTTCCCTGTTTGGATTCTGCTTTTCCCAGATGCCTTCCTGGGGTTGGCAGCTGTGTGTCCCCCTCGGACGTCCCCCCAACCGCCAGACCACACAGGTGCACGGACACCAGGTCCCTTTGCTCCAAGGCCCCCTCGGCCCAGTGGAGGCTCTGCCTGGGGCCTCCACCCCCTTTCTCACCAGGAGGGGAGAGGAACCCGAGGCCACCCAGGACCTTAGGACCGCGTGTGGGACGGGCTGAGCCCGGGCGATGGCTAGATGCTGACAAAGCAAGGCACGCGGCACGGAGCCCACGGGGGGCCGCACCCCCGCGTGCCGAGGACGCGGCCTGAGAGAACGCACGCTCAGGACGCACAGGAGGAAAAGGAATCGTGAAGAAAAAAAAGCGAGGCGTCCACGTTTGCTGGGAGACCCTCAGCTGTGTGCAGAGGTGCCCTGTCCAGGGCCCGGATACAGTGAGAGAGAAGGCACTCCCGCCGGCCGGTCCGGTCTCTTTATTGCGTGGACGCGCTCAGAGTCTGTTGACGTCGAGCTGGGGGAAGAGCAGCAGGCAGTACACCAGCAGCCAGAGGAACAGGATGAAGTACATCATGTCCGGCTGCTGGACGAACTGCGTCAGGGAGTCGCTGCGCGGGCTCTGGCTCTCCCGCAGCGAGGCTTCGCCCGAGTGGTTGGCCTTCCTGCAGGAGGGAGACACGGCTGTTACAAGTGGGACCCGGGGTGAGCGGACCCCACCGGCTCCCATGCTCCAACCTCGCTGCCCAACTGGAGAGCTGCAGGCAGCCCAGGGAGGCGCCCACGAGCCCCCGCAGTGCACACATAGACCCAAGGAGAGCGCTAGGGGCCAGGCGTCCACAGCACGAAGAGGGAGGAGCTGTGAGCCCATTGCTCAGATGGGCAGACTGAGACTCACTGGGTGACGGGGCTTGCCCAGGCCACACGATGACTGTGATAGAGCTGGGCTCTGGCCCAGGTCTCACTCCCTGGCCGGGACACCTTCCTGGCCACCTCAGTGGCCTGAACACCGTTAGACACGGGCAGTTCTGTTATTAGGGACAGAGGGGACTTCCTGGGTCATCTAAAGGGAGAGAGCATTCCCTGATGTCAGATCATTTGAAAACAGCGATCAGAAACAAATGCCAAAACCCAAAAACTACCACCAAGTTTAGTTTGGGGCTTTTAAAATAATTAATGACTAGATTTGGTTTTGGTCAGATTAGTCTTTCTTTTTTTTTTTTTCCCGCAGAAGGCAGCATTAAAGTGACCTTTAGCTTTTGCCTGGTGGATAAAGCCCAGAAGTTCCAAATTTTCCCCATCTGGTTGGAAGGGGTGCTGGGAGCCTCTGCCTGAATCTCACTGGCACGTTTTGGGGCTTGTGATGGAAGTTCTGGGAGGGAACCCTACTTCATCGACTGTCTCCCGCAGTGACAGGCCAGGCTAGGCCTCGGCCTAGGAACCCAGCGATTCACATGCAGAAAACCGACAATGGACAGAGTTGCTTTCTCTTTCTCAAAACTGTTTTTAGAGAAAATTTAAACTATATTCTTTATTGCAAAGGTAATAAATGTTCAAAATCATGGAAAACTGCCCGGCTGGTGTGGCTCAGTGGTTGAGCAGCGACCTGTGAACCGGAAGTCACAGGTGGATTCCCGCTCAGGGCATGTGCCCGGGCTGCGGGCTCGATCCCCAGGAGGAGGCGTGCAGGAGGCTGCCGATCAACGATTCTCTCTCATCACTGATGTTTCTCTCCCTCTCCCTTCCTCTCTGAAGTCAGTAAAAATTTATTTTTAAAAAACAATGTGGAAAACCGACTGCACGTCTCCACCTTGCCGGTTCCATTTTCCGAGTGACCCCCTCATAAAAGCTCAGTGCCGTTTCCCCAGGAGGGTGTCGAGCCTGACGGAAAATGTGAATTCATCTCTCCGTGTTACGGCAGGAGAGGGAACAGGTCTGGCCTCTAGTGAGGCGCCACAGAGGCGGGATTCCGGGCATCACACTCCTGGGGGCGGGGAGTATTCAGGCAGGGGTTTTCCATTCCAACCATGTAAGCCCTTCCAAGCCCATTCAAATCCGTGGCAAATATTAAAAAAAGATCGACAAAATGAAGCGAGTCAGCGGCTCGCCCAGGCACCAGGAGCGGCCCGGCTTGATGTTAGAGGTTTCCTGGCTCCCTAGGCCCTAAGTGGGCAGCGGACAGCGATGCGGCAGCTTAGCCTAGTTCTCCACGGTAAGAGATACTTTCATGGACATCCTGGCATGTTTGCACTCCCTCTTCATGTCTGCTCTGATGCCATAAAACTGTAAAATCAGCTCAGTGAGCCTCTGAGTATTGTACCTGCAGTGGCGACAGAATGAACAGGGCTGTCAGGCGCGTGGCATTCCCAGTATCGCACCCCTGCCTCTCCCGCCCGGCTCTCCCTGGGACCCCGGCGCACGCTGCCCGGGCTGCTCGCAGGCAGGTGCCTGACCCACACCTGTCTCCACACGGAGGGCGCTTTCTGCTCGTTAATATCACTCTTCCCTCCCACTCTTCGTCCGTCCCCATTCATTCCCTCGGAACCGTTAAGCTCTGTGGCATTATCTCAGACTCCGTTTTGTTATCGACAAAGCCTCGCGGGGGGAATAGCCACCCTGTCCCCACCTTTTGCAGACGGTTGGCTGCACAATTAAAATAGAAAGAGGTTTTTTGGAAACCCCACCACCCTTGGAGGAAAGCCACCAACCTGGTTAACATTCGGTTCCTTCTGTCATCCAGATCGGCTGCATTCCTCAACTGAACATAGCTAGAATGATCCTACAGTGAAATTCATAAACAAAACCCCCGCAACCCAATTAGTACAGATGAAATCTCTGAAACAGAAAATAAAATGATTTTAAACATACAAAGCCGAGCACGCCCCGCTTCTCTCAATATTGTAAACATCTAGTTCCTGAGGCCAAGGGCTAACCCACGTTCCACCTTAGTCCACCCTCTCCCCCGCCCACCCCGGACCGGGGCCCCATCCCCCGAGTCAGGGCTGTGGACCACGGTGCTTTGGGTCCCAGCGCAAGCAGAGCTACGTCGTTGCAAGCGCCAAGAACCCTCCTCTCCCGCTGCACCTGCCACTGAACTTCTCTTTCTGGGTGTGGTGGGGGCGGGGGCATTGGGTGCATTTTCTTATATAACAAAGAGACCTTTGGGCTTTAAAATCATCACTTTATTTACATCCCCTATGGCCCAAACTGGACGTCCGACTGGACTGTGCTTAACAACAAGATTTCAGTGTGCTTGCCTTCTATCCAAAAGTCTAGTTGTTGCATGCTGGGGAGGAGGAAGGATGGAAAGGAAGTGATTAGCAGTGGCGCTCAGAAGAAGAAGAAAGTCGCATACTAACCGATTCCAAAGACCTGTTAGTATGTCGTCGAATGTAAATGCTGGAGTCGCTGTGGCTAGTCCTGAAAAATAAACACACGTTTTGAATTGGTGCCACCGACAGCTCCGCGTGGCTCAGCGGGGCTCCCCCACCTCCCGAAGCTTCTGCATTCGCATGAGGCAAACCACGACTTCAGACCCAGCGAGGGAGGGGAGACCTTCTACCCAGGACGTCCCCGCGGGCCGGAGAGGGCTACAGACACCAGGATGGATGTGAGAGACACAGTGAGCCAGCGCTGCACACAGAAAGCAAAGCACGTGTTCTCGAAAGTCACAGGATTTCGCAGCAGAAAGGGCCCTCTTTTCCCAGCGGCCAGATGTCTGGGGCCTGCCCGACGCCCTCTGCAGGTCCACCCAAGGGTTGGAAGAGCGGAGGTCAGACCTGGGCCAGGACCTGGTACCCGCACCCTCCCAGTGCTGCGTCCCCGGCACCGCCTGCCCTCAGCTCGGCCAACCCTTGGCTGACGCCCGCTTCTCATGCGCGAGGAGGCTGATTTCCTGGTCGTGGCTTTGAGGCTGATGTGGAATAGATCTCTGACCGTCTACGGTCAGTTTTCCTCGTCTCTAAAATGGATCAGCTCCTCCCCCGCCCTGCACTGCACACAGCTGGGAGGGTAACAGGTCAGAGTGGCCCCTCTGGCTGCTCAGCAGGAAAACCAGATGCTGGGTGTCGACGTGCCGGCACAGTCACCTCAGCTTCCTCCTGGGAGACCAGCTGTGTGGCACCCTGGGGTCCGGAAACAAGGCATCGGATGCAGAGCTGACCCTGAAGGCATTCCCAGCGAAGCCCCGGTTCGCCCGCCCCCTGCAGCTCTGCCAACGTCAGCCAGCCCTGCCTGCGCACCGGGCACGTTTCAGGGACTGCTTGGTGGGGGCGCCCGGCCAGGCCTCGGGGAAACCTCCGCCTTGTCCTTCACCCAAAGCCTGTGCTGGTTTGTGCTGGTGTCACGGCACCAGAACGAAACAACCACACGCGCCCACAAAGAAAAGAGCCCCCGTGCCGTGTCCTTGAGAGCGGGCGCAGCGCTAGGGCCCGGGTGCAGGCACTCTCTCCCGGATTTGTGATGTTTTCTAGCAAAAAGCGCATCCCCCCAGGGAGGGGCCTCCCGCTCTGCCCACCCCGTTCCGCTCCCAGATGCTTTCTTCGAGGTGGGCTGTGTCACAGTGCCATCCCCAGGAGACTAAGGTCTGCTCCCTGAACGTGGTTCTCTGAGCACGCACAGCACCCCGGGGCCTACGGGCGCCAGGCACTGGGCCAGGTGCCGAGGCCCCGGCCCCCCGGGGAGCCAGCCACTGCCTATAAGCACACGTTCCTTCCTTTATTTGTCCACCCACAGAACTCCTCCTGAATGCCAGCTGCAGCCAGGCTGTGCTGAGGGTGCGGGCAATGCTGGTGCGCCCTCCCCGCCCCCAGGGCGCTGGCTGACCTCCAGCGGGGAGCCCCGGTAAACATGCTCTTCCACAAGTGATTAGAGAAGCCCTGCTCTGACAAGAGCAGGGGCCGTGAGAACATAGAAAGGCGGGTCAAAGACCGCCTGGAGGAATCCAAGAAGGCTGCCTGGAGGAAGTGGAAGTGACGCTGGGTTGGACCCAAGGGAGCAGCACGGCAGGAGACGGGCAGGGGACAGAGGGTCCTCAAAGGTGAAGGCACTTGGATGAGGGGGTGGGCATTCAAAGACCTCAGCTAACACCAGGTGCCTGGAGCGCGGGGAGAAGGGGACAGGGTGCCTGAGGTGGACGGAGACGAAGCTGGGAGGCAGGTCACGAGGGTCCAGCAGGCTGGGGACCCCGGGCCTTTCTGCCTCGACCAATAGGAAGCCACAGGGTGGTGACTGAGCCAAGAGGCAGTCGGAAAAGCATCCTGGGAAGAGAGAGGCCCAGAGCTCAGTCCCATTCAGTCGCCTGGGGCCAGGTCCTGACTTTAAACTCAGCACCATCCACACTGCAGGGAGCAGGTGAGCTGGCCGGGCCCAGGAGGGCCCCGCGGTCCTCAGTCACAGCCAGGAGCCCACCCCGCACATGCCCCGCCGCTCCTTTCCCCATGCCCACTCTCCTCCTGCCCCTCACGTGCCACATGTGTACTGAGCGCCCGCGTGCCAGCCGCCTGCCCGGCTGTTTCCTTCACCTGCGATGCCTTCCCTTCTCTCCCTCTCCCAGGTCCAAATCCCGCAGAATCCTCAGCGCTCACCGTGAATGACAGGCCAGCCCCCACGCCACCCTGACCCTCCATCTGCCTCTGAGGCCTAAACCGTGAATCCCCACCTGCCTCTTGACACCTGAGGCGTCCCCTCCAGGCCTAGTCCTAGGAGACCGGAAGGAGCTGTTCTCTCTCCAGCTAGGAGGCCCTGGAGGACAGAGCTGAGCCTGCACCCGCGGTGACTGACCTCCTCGGAAGTCCCCAAGCCTCGTGGACACCATCACAGGTGGCTGCCCACACATCACTGAGAACTAACTTGCTCAGGGGAGAAGCTGAGCGGCCTGACAAGTGACCCTCGGCCCCTCCCCAGGCTGTGATCAAGTAGGTGACAGCCGGGCCGTGTGCCTACAGTGTCAGCAGCACATACAGCAGGCCCAGCTCCACACTAAGACATAGGTGTCCGCTGGACAGTCACGAAAGGGGTGGGGAGAGGGACTCTGGAGTCAGGGCCAAAGGTGGTGGCAGTCTCCCATTGTGCGCCCCCCCCCCCCCCCGAAGCAGGGCAGAGGGGAGGCGGGAGCCCGAGCATCTGCCAGCCACTTCTCGGCTCTCCCGTCTGGGCTTCTCACCACCCCACATGCAAACCTCAACAGCTTCCCTTTGCAGCCAGGATGGCTCCCCCTGCAAGGCAACGAGGGCCAGGAAAGCACGCGGTGGTGCAGTCCCACAGGCCTGAGTCCGAGACCCAGCTCCGTGGCGGCCTAGGCTGAGGGCTGCTGCGAGCCTCCTTGTCCGCCATCATGAGGCACAATCCTAGCCCCCGCCTCTGGGGGTGCCGGGGGAGTTAAAGAGGAAACGCATGGGCGATGCCTGACATCAAGGGCAAACAGAGACCCCGTGACAGGAGTGATAATGGGGAGAGGCCAGGGTCCCCTGAAAGTCAGCAGTTCAATGCTTTCCCGGGGACAAATCCAGCCCACCTGGTGGCCCGGGAGTGACAGAGTAGATGCGCGCTACACACCTCGTGCCGATCAGTTCAAGTTCATGATCCTCCCTGACATAAAGGAACCATCCTGAGCTCTTAGAACCAAACTCCTGGGTGAAGCCATAGTGTTAAAGTCCAAATTCCATGTGACAGCTGTGAAGGGTCCCCTCCGGCCTCAGGCGGCTCAGCCCTCCCGAGTCTGGAGGACGCTGATCGTCAGCTACGGCCCATTTCTAACTGCGCAACCTGCGGTCACTTGCGGGCCGGGCTGGCCATTGCTCGGCACACCCCACACCTCCCCTCGGCCCAGCCACGTCTCTGCTCACTGCTCTTCCCCCACGGGACCCGGAGGAGGCGGGGGCAGGCTCCCGTCTTCCCGCTGTGCTGCTCGTCAGCAGGCCTGGTGACGGTGAGGGCCGGCGGGGACCTGGGTGGAGAGCTGGGGAGTCGGTTTCTGATTATGGCAGACGGCCACCTGGCCAGACGAACTCGGTACGAATCAGAAGAACCTTCTTACAAAGTTTCCTTTGCGGCCAGTCCCACCCCACGACCCCGTCACGTCAGAAACTAACAATGTGCTGGGTTCAAAGAGACCCTCTCTCTCTCGCTGGGTCTCTCGGGTGAGGAGACGGCGACACAGTACCTGGAAGGGACTCTGTGGAAGCCAGGGTCTTCGTCCAGGTCGTCGGAGGACCGCACAGCCCCGGGGGTGAGCAATACTGAACTCTCTACGTCGTCCACGTGCTTCTTTTTTTCCTTTTTCTTGCTGCTGACCGATTCTTCCATCACTTTTTCTTCTAAAGGGTTTCTTAAGTTTTCCGAGTTTGGGGATTCCTGGGACTTAAGGACAAGGCAACCAAATATAAGTCAGCATTTCATGCTGAGATACCGAGTGGGTGACACCATCCCGCACCTGGATCCAAGGCCCGGAGGGGGCCTCCCTCTCACTCTGCCTCTCCCACGGATTCCCTCCAGTACAGCCTGCGGGGAAGGGGGGCCATCCGAACTCCTGTCCCCAGTGCAGAGTTCAAATGCTCCCGACAGGTGCGGTGAAATGGCAGGAGGTCTAGAGTCCGCAGACTCTAGTTTAAAACCCTGACCAAGTCAGCTCTCTGACCTGGAGTGACTGACTTTATCTCTCTGACCCTCAGTTTCCTTGTCTGTCAAATCCTATATAATAAAGAGGTAATATGCAAATTGACCCTCACACCCACACAAGATGGCTGCCTACGACCAGGCCGGCAAGGGGTTAGTGGGGGATGACCAAACGACTGGACAAACAGGCTGTGTGGGGCAACCAGGCTGGCGGGGGTGCCGTGAGGGGTGACCAGGCTGGCAGAGGGGGCAGTTGGGGGTGACCAGGCCAGCAGGGGGGGCAGTTAGGGGCGACCAAGCTGGCAGGGGGGTTCAGTTGGGGGTAACCAGGCCAGCAGAGGGGGGCAGTAAGAGGCTACCAGGCTGGCAGAGGAAGGGGCAGCTGGGGGCGACCAGGCCAGCGGTGTGTGTGTGTGTGTGTGTGCAGGAGTGCAGTTGGGGGCGATTAGGCTGGCAGGGGGGGCAGTGAGAGGCAACCAGGCCAGCAGAGGGGGCAGTTAGGGGCGACCAAGCTGGCAGGGGGATACAGTTGGGGGCGACCAGGCCAGCAGAGGGGGGCAGTAAGAGGCTACCAGGCTGCCAGGGGGAGGGGCAGTGGGGGGCAACCAGGCCAGCAGAGGGGGCAGTTAGGGGCGATCAGGCTGGCACATACAGGCAGCGAGGGACGATCAGGCCGACGGCGGTGGGGCAGTTAGGGTCAACCAGGCAGGCAGGCAGGTGAGTGATTAGGAGCCAGTGGTCCAGAATTGTGAGAGGGATGTCCCCGGGGGTCGGGCCTAAACCGGCAGTGGGACATCCCCCGAGGGGTCCCGGATTGGAGAGGATGCAGGCTGGGCTGAAGGGACCACCCCCCCCCCCTCCCCGTACACAAATTTCGTGCACCGGGCCTCTAGTGGGTATAATAATGACCAACCTCTTCCCACAACAGGATTGTGCTTCCTATAAAGGATGCCCCTCGCAACGGGCAATGGTTGGACCCGTCACACAACCATCAGCCACTTAAACAGAGAAGCGACCCCTGGAAGCCAGGGGGCCCAAGGGTGCAGGGTCGCCCGAGTTTGGAGAAGTGCACACACAGACACACGTACAGCTGGTGGGAGGACCCTTCCCCGTGCCCTCGGCCGGAGGTGGATTATAGGGCACCTCTTGCACTTACTGGATAAGGCACGTTCTTTGAGCCGTGTCTACAGCCAACGCTCTGAAACCCGTTGGCAATGCTCGCGAGTGAAACCAAGAAGCGTGGGAATGGTGGGAGCAGTGTCTCGAGAATTCCTTCGGGGCCGGAGGAACCTGCTCCACAGGAGGTGGACTAAGGACTGAGCTGCCGGCCTGCGCAGCCACAGAACAATGCTCTGTGCAGAGAGTAAACCGCCCTCGGCAACTGAAGCTCCAGCCCCTCCTCCGTCATCAGTGGTACTTTTTCTGAGAGGTGAAACGAGGAGACACCTTTTTTTTTTTAAAGACTAGAAGAACCTGCCATTTTCTGGTCTCTTTTGAAGGCGTATTTTCCTTTTTTCAAGGAGGGCCAGGTATCAGAGAGATGCTCCCTCCTGTGCTGTCCTGGCTGCCCAGAGGCAAGGCTCTAGACCTCCCCTGCCACTCCGAGCTGCACCCCCTCCCTCGGCGGACCCACAGGGATCAAGGCCAGGGCTACACTCGGGGCCAACAACAAGGTGGGCTGGAGCGCAGTGGGCACTGCTCGGTGGACAGGTGAGAGCCAGAGGGAGCAGATCAGGGCCGAGAGGGCAGGCCCGGCTCAGTATCAGCGTCCAGTCTAGGTTCTGGTTCCATTCCCAGCCCCACCCCAAATCACCCGGCCACTGGCTGGGCACACGAGCAGGTGTGCAGCCTACTTTCGGCAATGACCGCAAGGAAAGCGGAGGAGATTGAAGCACCTCATCTGCGTTTCCATAGGCCACGTTCAGCCAGCCGGGGGCAGGGGGAGGGGGACTGAGCCCCTAATTTGCCATTTCAAGTATCACAGAGGGGCAGAGGGGCAACACAGGCTTTCTTCCCACCAACACTCGGTCCCCTGTCTTTTGTCCTAAGAGAGATTTTTGGCCCATAACCACCCAGAGAATAGCCCCATTTGCTGTCACGGCCCCCCAGTCTGAGGACCCCAAGACCTGAGCTCACTGAGGGACATTTCTAACCCCTGAATCTTGGGGTTTCTGGCAGGAAGAGCCCTCTGGGACAGGGCTGGCCTCCCATAAGCCCGCAGGCAGCAGGTAGGGTGGGTGAAGGACCGGGGTCAGGTCCCTTCATGTGGGGGCAAATGGGGAGATGGCAGTGGGCCCCTGGGGACCCATCCAGCCCTCTTCTCCATCCCAAGATGGACAGAGTGCCCCTCACTCCCAGGGCAATAGGAGCTCCCACCGCGCTCCTGGGAGCTGCGCACCCCTGTCCAGAGCTGGCAGATCGATAAACATAAGTGACCACGCTGGCCTAAACGCCGAGTGCCTCATAAGGCTGCTCGGACCCCCTCCTCCTTCGGCCTCCCAGCGGCAAGCCGGCTAATTCCTCCACCCCTCCACTGCGTGAGCCAGAGCATCGTCATCTATCTTGGGGTTCAGTGCACCCTACCTTCACCTTTCACCCCGAACTACCATGCAAAACACACCTTCGTCTCCCGACTGCAGGCCATCAGGGGGTCTCCAGAGCCCAAACCTGAATCACAAACGCGCACCTCTCCTGGGAGACCATCCAGCCGGCGAGACTGGCGGGGCCCCGGGAGGGAGGCTGTGCCGGGGCAGGAGCTGAGCTCTGGAGGCGGAACTCCTGGGGGGCAGCCCCTACCTGCTGGCTCTCCCCAGGGGCGCGGGCTGTGGCCTCCCTCTGCTGGTGGTCCTCTGGGGCCAGGGTGGGGGGAGGGCCCGAGGCTGGCTTGGCCCCCTGTGCCCCCTGGTCCCGGTCGGGCTCCTGGGTGGGGGGCTGGGGGCGGTCCTCGCCCAGGCCCCGGAAGCTGCCGCTGCTCTCGGAGGCCTCGGGCTCGTCCTCGTCCTCCCTTTGCTCCAGGTCAGACAGGTAGTCCTCCGGGTCTTCAAAGTCCGCGTCTTCGGCTTTAAAATCCTCCTGGCCTTCCGCGTACGCCTCCAGGACGGCGGCCAGGGGCACCTCGTAGTGCGGGTAGTAGAAGAGGTCGTGCGGGATGACCGAGACCTTGGAGAGGGGCGGGGAGCGCTTGAAGTCCAGGCCCTCCTCGCTGTGGCTGCCCAGGGTCTCCAGGCTGACTTGGCTGCTGGGCGGGTTGGAGGGCAAGTCCCCCTCAAACGCCGGGGGGTCCTCGGCCTCCGCCTCCTCCTCCCCGCGCGGGGGCCGCGGGGACTTGCGCTTCGCCTTTTCATACACCTCTGGCTTCCTGCCCCCCGGCTCCTCCTCTGGGGCCACCACACGGCTGTGGTCTTCGTGTCCAGGCTTCCCCGGGGGCTCGTCCGCACCTTCCATCCTGGGGGCGGATGTGCTTCTCCCGTTCCCCAGGTTCTCGGCCTGCGCCTCCGCAGCCCCGGCCTCCGCGGGCCCGTCCTCCGCAGGCGGGGGGTCCTCGCCGAAAGCCTGGCTGGTGGAGGCAAAATCGACGAGGTCACTGTTAAATTTAGAGGCTTTCAGGGGTATGCCTTCGAAATCGTCTTCCTCGTCCATCGCCTCTGCGGTCTGCGGCTTCACCTTGAGCTCCGAGGAATCGGCCATCACGGTCTCCTCTCCGAGGCGCGCCCGGGGGCAGCTCTCCTCGCCGGGGCTGGCCGGCCGCTCCGAGGCCCTGTTCCGGGGGGCAGAGCCCTGGGGAGTCTGAGAAGGGCCGGTCTGACTGTCCGCCAGGCAGACATCGTCCAGGGCCTGGTCTGGGGCTGCCTCTGGGGCGTCGTGCCTCGGCCTTTCCTCGGCGACCTCCGGGCCGTGCCCATCCTGCTTCCACAAGTCCTTGGTCCCCCGATGGCCGCCTTCGAAGCCGCAGTCTTGGCTGTGGACGGGGTCCTTGCTGCAGGAGGCGTCCTTGTAGACGTCCGCCTCAAAGTGCACCGTTTTCTTGCCCGGCAGGGAGCTGGACCTCTGGTTGTCCTTTCTGGATAAGATGGAAGATTCTGGAGGCGCCTCGCTGAGGCTGCAGGTCCTGCCGGAGGCCCCGAGGGTGTCCCAGTCCGTGCCCTGCGGTGTGACCTCGGCGGGGCTGTTTGCCGGTGTGGGGCCAGGAGCGCCACCCGGGCGGGAGTCCTTCCCGCGCGCGGGCTTGTCACAGACAAAGACCTTGGAGGGGGGCGGATGGCTGGTGTCGTGGTTGACGGTGTAGGCCCGCTCCCCGTCGTCAGTCACATAGAAGACGGTGCTCTCCTGCTCCGAGGGCGTTTCTTTAATGCGGACGAAGGTGGACTCAATAGGGGCGTCTTTATCGGGATCCACAAAATCCTCCTGCGGAGAAACACAGGGCAACAGGACGTCAGCAGCGCCTTGAAGTACAACGTATCCCCCTCTCAAACGGCAAAGCCCAGAGCCGGAAGGTGGCTTCGGAGCGAACGCTCAGTGTTGTAACTAACGTGTAGATGGTTGCCAAGGACTACCGTTTCTGCCAAAGTATTTCACAAAGACTGCATTTCCCAGCTCTGGATACAAAGAAATCTCAATGCACTAAACTGTAAGTAGGATGAGCCCTTCTAAGTGAGCAAAGATTTTCAGCTTCTTTTTTCCAATATATTTTTATTGATTTCAGGGAGAGGGAGAGAGAGATAGATCAATGATTCTCTCTCATCATTGATGTGAGAGAATCACTGATCAGCTGCCTCCTGCACACCCCCCACTGGGGATTGAACCCACAACCCCTGCATTGCCCTGACCGGGAATCGAACCGTGACCTCCTGTTCCAAGGTTGACGTTCAACCTCTGAGCCACACAGGACAGGTGACTGTCAGCTTCGGTGGCCACTGCCTAGTCTGGGGACGGACAGGAGGAGCACTGACCCACCTGAGATAAGGAAAGATCAGCCCACCCTTCACTGATTGTGTGGGCAGGTATGAATCTAAAAGGACCCCAAATGCAAAACCAAATCTCCTGACAGTATGATAAGTCTCCCACACGGGGACATTTGCTGAGTAAGAAACAGCTGTGGGCAGGGCTGCAAAGCAGAGAGAGACCTTGGGGTATTGCCGTGGTTGGCACCCGGTGCACTGGTGGAATCGGTGTGTTGACCTCATCGTAAAATGATGAGAAACCAGAAAGCCAAAATTAAATAAAACTGCACCATATCCCTTATTGAGTCCTGGGAAGGCCAAAACGATTAGTTCCTCACTGTAAATTCTTGTTTAGGGAAGGACTACATTCTTGGGGGGTGGGGGAGAGGGAGGGAATGTTCATTTATACACTAGGTCTGACATAAAAGAAACAGTGTTAAGATACCAAGAAGCAGGGGAATGAGACCCATAATAAAGAGAAACAACCATCATTAGAAGTAGACCCATATATGAGCCAGGGTTAGAACTAGCAGATAAAGATGCTGAAATAACTATTTAACCTATGCTACAAGAAATACACAGGCAGTTCTTTGGGCTGAAGAGAAATGATCATAGAGGGAAGCCAGGATCTGAAGGAGGGAATGAAAAGTGCCTGAAATAGTAAATATAGGGTCAATATAAAAAAACTAAAAAGTTTTCTTAAAAAGCTTCCTAACTATTTAAAGCAAAAATGTGACAAAGTATTGGGATTAGAATATGGAGAAGTGAGGTAAATGACAGTAGTAGCACAAAGGAATGGAGAAGAAGTGAGTGGAATTAAATGTTTACATATATAAAATATATAAAAAATCCATTTTACTAGAAGTGTTATAATAGGGATTCAATGTAGACTGAGGTATGTTCAAGATGAGTATTATAACCCCTAGAACAACTACTAAGAAGATAAAACAAGGAGATGTAGCTAAAAAGCCCACAGTGGAGCTAAAACGGAAACAAAAGAATAATTGAATCATCCAAAAAAGGTTAGGCAGGAAGAACAAAGGAGCAGAGCGCAAGCAGGACCAGTGGGAAAACAACAGTCAAGATGGTAGATGAAATCTCTGTAAATGGCCGAAAAACACACTAGTTAAATGACATGCTAATTCTTGTCAGAAGGGACAGAAAGCAAGACCTGACTATAAACTGTTTATAAGAGATGTGCTTAAATATTAGCACACACACACTGCAAAGAAAGAGAAGGAAAAAGACATATCGTGCAAACAGCATGAGAAAGCCGCTATGGCTACATATTTCTATCAGACAAAGTACCCTGCAAGAGAAAGAAAGAACCTGCATAAAACTGCAACCACCGAGTCACCAGGATGATACAACCACCCTAAATGTGTATGTGTTTACAGCATGGCTTCAGCATACACACAACAAAGACTGACAGAGCTAAGAAAAACAAACCCACAACCATGAGTTGGAGATTTTAAACATTTCTCTCTCACACTCACTGATAGGAAAAGAAGAAAAAATAGCAGTATGCCTATAGAGTGTGAGAACAGCACATTAACCAACCCGACCTAATTGATACTTAAAGAATGTTAATTCTTTCCGTGCATAGGACACATTCTTTTCAAGTGCATAGGGTACACTTAACCAAAATAAACCATATATAGGGACAGCAAGCTGGGCACAGTGTCTGGTACACGGATGGCTAGGGCTTAACGAATGTCTGTTGAAATGAACTAAACTCAGCTGAACTGTCAAGGAACAGTTCGATGGTGCCTAGATTAGCTGGGACTTGTCGTCTGTCATCCCCTGGGGATGTATACGGACTGTTCTGTGGTGACGCACTATGATCTGGGACTCGGGGGGACTTCCTCAGGTCCCATCTTGCTCCACCTCTCCTTCCCCTGCCCTGTCTGCAGCACTGGGGAGACCCAACTGTCAGAACTGCTGAATCCTGGCTGTGACCTCTACAAACACCATAAGTTTGAGTTGATTTCAAACTTTGCCTACATCTTAAGGGCTCAGGGCTAAGTATCCCCGAGTTTAGTCATGGACTAGGAAATTTAAAAAATATTATTATATCATACTAGAGGCCCGGTGCACAGATTCAAGCACCGGTGGGGTCCCTTGGCCTGGCCTGCGCCCTCTCACAATCTGGAACCCCTCGGGGGATGTCTGACTGCCAGTTTTGGCCCGATCCCCACAGGCCAGGCTGAGGGACCCCACGGGTGCACAAATGCATGTACCGGGCCTCTAGTATACATATAAGATCTTTGGTTAATCTCTTCCCGCCCTTCCTTCTGAGGTTCATCAGTCTGTTCCATGTTTCCATGCCTGTGCATTGAGCATTTGCCTATGGTGGTCAGTGTGCGTCATAGATATCGGTTGAATGGTCGCTTAGGCTTTTATATTATATAGATACTGTATAATGTATACAGCTGCACAATTTAATATATTAGACTATATATTGTATTATTATGAAAATAATAACAGCCCTAGCCTGTTTGGATAGAGTGTTGGCCTGTGGACTGAAGGGTCCCAGGTTCGATTCCAGTCAAGGGCACATGCTGGGGTTGTAGGCTTGATCCCTAGTAGGGGGCATGCAGGAGGCAGCCAATCAATGATTCTCTTTCATCATTGATATTTCTACCTCTCTTTCCCTCTCCTTTCCTCTCTGAAAAAATAAAAATACATTTAAAAAAATTGTTACAGGTGTGTTTTGAACATTGTCTTTTATAAATTTTCACACTCTGATAAAATCTGGCAGACTGCTAAAATGTTCTATCTGACATCTAAAAAATCAAGTAAGTTACCCATATTACATGCGAGCATCTTTTATAACCTTAATACAGTTTGGTATGTGAAGAGGTTTGTGAGGGGCGTGGCAGCCTAACTTCCCGTCCTGCTTTTCACATAATACACGTCACACGTGATTTTGAAATTAACGTGGGGCAGGGCAACGCTCAAGGGGCTTGAGATCAAGTTTTGATGACTCCCCCTCCTCAAACAACACAGCCCAAGCCCCAGCTTCAGTGGGTGGAAACGTAGTTTCAGAATTAAAGGCAAGGAAAACCAACATACGGCTTCCAGCTCCGGGAAATGTTCTAGAAACTGTGCCACGTAAGTCACGATAGACTGCTCATCCGGCGTGTCAACCATGATGTCTGTTAAGAGAGACACGGGCGTTAGGACACGTGAACACGCGGTCTTTAAAGAGACCCCCTGGTCCCCGCGGTTTTTCCCGTCTCACATGGAGGGAAATCAGGCCGAGGGGGGCAATCTTACTCGGGCGCCCTGAGCCCCGAGCCTCACACTTACTGGACTGAAGGCTGGTGAACGGGGGGCCCGAGTGTAGAACCCAGGACTCCTTATTCCCAAGGTCATCCATTACTCCTCTCCGTCCCGCCAGCTCCCTGCAGCCCGTCAGCCGGTCCGGTGACCCAGGGCCTTCCTCGCTGCTGGGGGAGCCCCACACTAGCCTGGCCCACTGGGAGCCCATCTGACAGTGAGAGCCAAGTGCCTTGGAGGGGCGTGTCCTTCCCAACCTGTCGCTACCCGGATGGGAGTGGTCCTGAGGGTAAGTGGGAGGCCCTGGGCTCCTTCAGCGAGATGCTCAGTGAGATGCAGACAGGACTGTTTCTGCAGCGGCCCAGGGCGCCAGTGGCAGGAGAGCCTCGGGAATGTCGCGATGCCCAACAGAAACAAGTAGTGAAGACACGCTAGCCCCATGCAAAACACTTACGCCAAAAGTAAAATGTTAAGTCAAAAAAAGGAGAGACAAAACCATGCATACACGGCATGATCCCATTATGTTTTTAAAAAATGTAATTAAGTGCATAGAAAAGCGCTGGAGACATGAGCTCAGCGGTAGGAATGTGGGCGTTATAAAAACGTCGTCATTGGATTTTTCTGTATTTTTGGACAGCACGTGCGACGCAGGCAATGGGAATCATTAAGAAGGAAGAGAGCGAGAGAGCCGCCGCTACCTTCCCGGCTCCAGGAGCCTGGGGATGTGGAGGGCGTCGTGCGCGATGCGGAAAGCCTTCTCCAGGTTCTCCGGCATGGAGTCCTCCAGGGCCGCCTTCATGTCCACCAGGCTGGGGTCGATGGCCTTGATCACAGCCAGGAACGCCAGCCCACTCCTCCAGCTGCCCGCGAAGTCCTGCACCGCCACGCCGTACCTGCGGGAAAGCAGCGGGCGGCCCCAGCAGCTCAGCGAAGAGAACCACTGACCGGGGTCAGCACGCAGCAGCCTCTGCAGTGGTTCTCAAACTTCTGGCCCTTTAAATACAGTTCCTCATGTGGTGACCCAACCATAAAATTATTTTTGTTGCTACTTCATAACTGTAATGTTGCTACTGTTATGAATCATAATGTAAATATCTGATATGCAGGATGGTCTTAGGCGACCCCTGTGAAAAGGTTGTTCGACCGCCAAAGGGGTCACTACCCACAGGTTGAGAACCGCTGCTCTAGAGCCTCTGAGTGCAGCCGGGAGCTGCAGACCACACGAGGCTGGGCGCCCTGAGCTCCGAGCCCCAGAGAGCTGCAGGGAGCCATCACAAGTCCCTTCTGGACAAATGGAAGAGGAAGTTACGCGTCCTACAAGGAGGCCGCGCGGGAAGGACCTCGCGTTCCCCGATGTCCAGAGAGATAAAGAGCAACGTTATAATGTTCATCTTCTCAGTGACATTCAGAGCAGCAGACAGCATGTGCTGTGTAATACGGGGGAGCCAGAAAGTCCCCCTGCACACCCGGCTGCCCCTCTGGGCTCCCTGGGCCGTGGCCTTGGGCAAGTCCTGCCCCTGCCAGGCCGCAGGCTTCTCAGTGATAAACAGGGGTCACCGCACTGTGACCTCCTGGTGGCGGTCGCAGAGAATACTAGCTTGAACCCCAAGAGTGGCCACGGCAGGCGGACACCCAATGGGCCACGTAGGCAGCACCGGGAGCCAGCCACTAAGTGGCAGCTAACGTCGTATGTGAGGGACGCAGAGAGCTGATCCTGTCGCACCGCTTCCTTTAGAAACCATCCCGAGACCTGCCCGTTTCCCCACTGTGGCCACCGAGTTCTCTGGGAAACAAACAGCCCGACCTTTTCCATTTAGGAACCATTAAGATTCACAAGAAGCCGAGAAGCAGCGAGCACCGTATGTCCCGGAGTAACTAGGCCAGGGCCCTGATGCAGGGGCAGACGAGTATGGCGCTCCAGGCCTTGTGGGTCTCCCCAGCTTCTTTTTCACGGGCGGTGTATGCACCGTGACATTTTATCACAGGCTCAGAGGCCTGGAGCCACAGCCGGGAGCCATGGAGACGCCGACTGCGGCATCACCCCCAGGACACCTCCCTTCCTCATCACCCCCTCTCTCTTTGGTTGATTTATTTTTATTAGAGAGAAAGAGAGAGAGGGAGAGAGAGAGAAACATGGATGAGAGAGAGAAATGTCGATCGGCTGCCTCCTGCACACCCCCTACTGGGGTCGAGCCTGCAACGCGGACATGTGACCTGACTGGGAATCGAACCATGATCTCCTGGTTCATGGGGTTGATTTCTTTTTAAACAACAGGTAATGACCGTTCGCATACATCAGCTCCACCGTGCTCTGCCCCTCAATCAAAACTCCAAAGACCCAGCCTCACTCCCATCTTTTTTCCTTCCCGTTCACCCCCGTGCATGGGGAGAAGGGACTGGATCTCTGTGAAGGACTTTAACGTGCTGGCACCATGCAGGCACTTTCCCGGGGTCTCTATCATCTCAGCCTAACCACCCTGCAAGGCAGCGGAGGGTAAGTGACCATCTTGCAGCGGTGGCCGGCGGGGAAAGCGATTCTCCAGGATCCCACCCAGCGTGTGCACGGCAGAGCGGAGGTGGCCCTGAGCTGGGGTGGCTTTTGCCCCGCGTGGCCTGGCTTTCTCCCCAGCCTTGCCCACAGCCCAGAGGCCCAGGGGCTGTCGGCCACCGCCAGTTAAAGGCCCAACACCCAACGGCTAAAAGGCCTTGCCTGCTACCGCGCAGGGCCAAACAGGAGGCCGGGAACTTGGCTCCAATTCATGGTGTGCATTTTGGAAAGGCCACACCTAACTCTGACCAGCTACAGCCTTTACTGTTACTAGTTAGGTGGGTGCGGACTGAGCGACACCTTGGCCCTTGGTAAGAAATGTGTACGTGCTATTAGGATCCAAGAGACAGCCCCGCTGTGGGGCTGAACGCGGGGGAAGCCCCTCTGCTTTGTATTCAGATCCTCTCATGAGCTCTCTGCGAACCACGTTCTGCAAATACAGTTCTCTGTGCACAAAACCTGCCAATGCCCCACGCGGCCGCTCTGACAGGCTCCATGCAGCAGCCGGCAGGGAACTGGCGCATAACTTCATGGCCGCCAGCCCCCCTCCGTCACCCACCCGGGAGGTCCTGCTCCCCTGCCTGGCGGCAGCTTGGGCGGGCGGGTGTGCGCGTGGCTCACTTGCGCGTTTTCCGCTGCACCCACGCCAGCAGGGTCCTGATGGCCTTCCTCTGGTCTTTCACGGACAGCGCCGCGCTCCTCTCGGCCGTGGGCGTGGGTGGGAACGAGGAGTCGGAGTCTGTGCCCCCGGAGCCCGGCGACAGGCTGGACGGTGGCGAGTTTCTGCTGAGGTTGCCCGTGAGCTCCTTAATCTGGAAGGAAAAGAACCATTTCAGACCCGGAGACAGACCCAGAGCCAACCCTCGTCTGACCCCAGGGACCCTGGGGGCCCCGAGTGGAGGGAGCAGCTCACGCAGATGGGGAGGCCCCTTCCCGACGCCGTGTCAGGGCCGTGCCGCACGCGTGATGGCCTGCCCGTTGCACGTGCCTGGCAGCACACGCAGTGACACATACCGGGGAGTCACCTCTCCCCGAGTCTCTCCAGCTGTGGCCCAACTCCGCTCACAGGTCGTCCTGACCGCCTCCCCTGTCCTCTCCCATCGTGCCCCTGGCTCCCAGAAGGCAGCTCTCCCAGCCCGCTGCCTGTGCTCTTCCGGGGCCTGCTGCCGGGAGGTCCCTGTCCTGCATCACTGAACTCCTGGCCACTCAAAAGGTGGCTCCCATTGCGGGGCACGTCGGAGAAAGGCAGACGCCCAAGCCCTGTCCCAGACCTGCAGAGTCAGAATCCGCAGTCCACACACACACACACCCTGCGATTCGTGTGCACAGGCAAGTCTGAGAAGCACTGGTCTGGCACACTCCTACCCACCCGTCAAAACCCAGCTCTGATGTCACTTCCCGTAGGCTGACGCTGCGGCTGAAAGTCTGCCTCACGGCCCTCTCCCCTCCGAGGTAACTGCCCCTGCTGGGTGCTCTCCCAGCTCTCTGCTCACACCCGGAGGGCGGCCTGCCCCGAGAGCTCTGTTCGATGCGGCGGACTCATCTGTGATCCCAGAGGTCATGGCTGAGGACTGGGCATGCCCAGAGCCTGGCCCATAGCGGAAACTCAACAGGCAGGTACGACACATTTTCAGGATGTTCTCGGCAGCTCTCGGGGAGTAACTGAGCCTGTAGATAACATGCCAGCTGCCCGCACGCTTCCCTCACAGCAGCTCTTCACGCTCACCACGCCTATGACCATGGCCCCCCCTTTCCCAGATGTGGAAACTGAGGCTCAGAGAGAGCGCCTTTGGTTTTGGAAGTTCAAGGCTCACCTAGAACTTGATCTGTTACATCCAGACTTTGTCTGGGCTCGTCCCTCCCTGAAACAGAAGCATTGAGCCCAACCCCCAGCCAATCGCCACCATCTAGGTCACTTTCACTCGGGAGGGCGGCCAAGTGATGCGCCGCACGTTCTATTTCAAACGAGGGGCGTGAGAAGGTGAGGCGGCAGCTCCCGTTCAGGGAGAGGACGTGAGCGTGACTTTCAATGCCGCCTTTGCAGCCCGGCCACGTCCCGTCCTCCCTCCATTAAGCCTGCATTTCCACGGAGGGGCTGCCGTTGCTACGGATGGAAGGTCTCCCGCCACACGCGCCCCTTCCTCCAGCTGTCTCTCGGACGGGCCTTTACTCATCTCTGATGAGCACGGCTCACTCTGGGAGCGTAACTCTACCACGTTCAATCGCTGGAAGTATTTCCCCAGTTCTTGTGACACTTTAGAACGGTGGTTCTCAACCTTCCTAATGCCGCGACCCTTTAATACAGTTCCTCATGTTGTGGTGACCCCAATTTCATTGTTACAAACTGAACATAATTAAAGCATAGTGATTAATCACAAAAACAATATGTAATTATATATGTGTTTTCCGATGGTCTTAGGCGACCCCTGTGAAAGGGTCGTTCGACCCCCAAAGGGGTTGAGACCCACAGGTTGAGAACCGCTGCTTTAGAGTGAAGTTATTTTTTCGAGGTAAATATTTAATTCTTCCATTCCCAAGAGGATGGATGGACGCTCCCGGGGAACAGAGCTCTCACCACTTTTAAAATCACGGGGACTCAAATCTTTAGCTCCGGAGTCCTCCGGTTCTTTTTCAGGGAACAGAAAAGTCAAAACCTGCCGGACACTGAATCCCACTGTCGCCTCAGTCTGGCCCCACTCCATGCTGCTGGCCCCGAGCAGACGCCAGATTGCTACCGCGCGTTACAGAAAGGCAATGATCGTACCTGGAAGAAGAGAATTATGTTCCATATCAGCCCAAGAACCAAAGAGGGGTTGCCGTCCGCTATTTCTGCCGCGTCGATGCTAACCAGTTTTACCTGCAGGGAAGCAACGGATGAGCTTAGCGGGGTGGCCACGTACGAGGAAAACAGGTGGTTTTCTGATGCCCCCGTGGGCCTGTTTCTCCGTCACCTGCCCTGCTCAGCATTGCCAAGGCCGCCTCTCAGGGCCCAGCATGCAGAAGTGTGCGGAGGAGTCTTTAATCATCACCTACATGGGACTTACCCCGCAGACACCAGGCTAAGGTCCTTAAAGTATCACCTCAGTTCGCCCCAAACCAACCCCTCCACGTAGGTACTTCGATTAGCCCTGTATTTCAGGTGAGGGAATTCCAGAGAGGGCAGACGGGATGTGCCCGGGGTCGGCCATCTTTTCCAGGACAGGTGGTGAGAACCCGGCAGGTCTGTGCATGCTGCACTATCACCCTCACACCTGCGACTGAACACGGCCGTGGACAAACACAGAGCAATGACACTGGCCATCGTGGGCCCCGATGGGAACGAGACTGACCCATGGGTGATCGGGCACAGTGTGCCGGATAAGGCTGCTACCCGGAGTTTGGGCCTCATTACCAAATAGCCTACTGATTGGCTAAACTACCCGACTGAGGAACCCTTAGGCCATCATCTACTGATTCAACTGCTGACCCCAGGATGACGCTCTTAGCAATGGTTCTGAAGGCAATGGTTCTCAAAGTGTGGGCCCCAGATTGATCTCCTGGGAACCCCTTAGAAACGCAAACCCTGCCCCAGACCTACTGAATCAGAGGCTCTGGGAGGGCGCCCCCCATGTGCGTTTCAACCGGCCCTCCAGGTGAGAATGAGGACCAGGCCCTTAGTCATGTTGTTCTGCAACAAAACCCGAGCCCGCAGATCAGAGAGAGAGGAATCTGCAAGACTCTGCAGGCCACTGTCTGTCAGGTCCTCCCCTTGGTCCTTTACACCCTTCATACACGTGAAAGCCACCCTTCAGGGGACAGAAGGGGGAGGGAAGTCACACTCCATCCCATCCACCCCCTTAAAGCACACGATTCGCTGGTTTTTTTTAACGTGTTCACAGGTAAGCACAGCATCACCACAGTCCATTTCTGAACATCGTCATCCCACTGACAAGAAACCCTGTCCTCTAGTTCCCTCTCCCCGAGCCCCCGTCCCCTCAACCCTAACCGACCACTAATCACTTCCCGACTCCAGGGACCTCCCTGTCCTGGACATGTCATAGGAACAGGGTCATGGGACACGGCGTCCTCTGAGCCCGGCATCTTTTATAATGTTTTCCATGTCCATCCATGTGGCAGCCGGTACGGGTACGCGGTCCTTTTTCGTGGCCGAATAATATTCCACGGACGGGCACTTGGGCTGCCTCCACCTCTTGGCTCTTCTGAGTGACGCTGCTGTGAACCGTGTGAGCTTTTTGGCCGCCACCATCTGAAACGCCTCCTGTGCCTGGGCTTTCCCCACAGCCTGGGAGGCAGGGCACCTCCCCATTCAAGACCCAAAGTACTTTCCTCACCCGCCCCGGAAGCCGGGGTGTGGGCAGGGACTGATGCTCGGGAGCCGGCCTTGACTCTGAATGTGTGACACTGAGTTCATTCCAGGGGCAGTGACGTCCTCTCAGCAGCGGTGGGGACAGTGCGGGGCGGCCATGCCCATTGGATGGGGGGCGTGGGGAGCTTTGCAGTGTGCGCCTGGCATCCCTGGGCTCCGTCTCTGGTCCCCCCAGCTTTGCAGTCACTCTGTGCGCTCCCCAGCATGCTTTCGATACATCCCTTTCCTGCTAAACTCAGCCAATCCGAGCTTCCTTTGCCGGCTGCCAGGGACGCCACATGAATGGCTTCCTGACCAAGCCGCACGGCGGGCAAGCTGCGTGTTTCACCCGGGCTGCCCGCGGAGGCTTCCCGGGGCGCTCCATAAACTCATTCCTCTCGGCCACCTGCCCCCATGGAGGATACCAGGCAGCGTCAAAACATAGAAAAAGCGAATGAAAGTCTAGAAAGTTCTATCCAGGAGGGGAGGATTTTGTAAGTTTTCCTTCGCCTTTCCTTTCGCCCTGCACTTCGCCCTGATGCAGGGTTCTAGGAGGCGGGAGTTATACTGCTCACCACACTCTTAGTCAAAGGAGGGAAAATGTCACCTTACCCTAAAGAGCCGAGACCCCGTCAGCGTCCCGCCCTTCCCACGTGGGGTGCCATGGAGCTTTGTCCCAGTGGAGGCCCAGGGGGGCAGGGAGCGGGGCAGGGGCCACCTCGCCAACAGACGGGTTTGCCGAGTTCCGTTCACTTTGAACTTGGTCTGTAGGCCTTTCCCAGTCCCTCTCCACGCTTCTCCGTGACCAGCACTCAGCCATGCGGTCCTCGCAGCTGCAGGAAAGGGCCTGCTCGCCAGATGGGTCGCATACTTACGTTGCTATCTTCCAAAAACTTAAGTGCTTTCGCTATGTTGTTCAACCGAAAGATGCGGTGGGACGAGGATTTGTACTCGTGGAGCTGAAACAAACCAGACAGACCGCGTCAGACAGCGCATCCCGGCCCCGCGGAGCCCGCGGCCGCCGCTCTCCTTCCCCGGCTCACATTAATCTCGGGGAAGTCGGGGGGCCCAGCTGAACCCACCCTTTATTTATGGTTCCCGGGACTGCACAACGCCGAGCCGGTGAGTGGGGGACCCAGGGGTTAAGCAGGGGACAGATGTGTCAGGCTCTTTCTCTCTGACCCAGCTCCTGGCCTTTGATCGGCCTCCCCCTCCAGAGCCCCCAGCGACGTGCTCTGCTCCCACTGATGGTTTCTGTCAGGGCAGGAGCCTCTGCAGCAGCTGCTAAATCATCCGCCAGTCCCCCCGGGGGCAGATGTTCCGGTTTGCTGGCCAAGAGCTTTGTGAACAGTGATCTCAGGTCAGAGAGAGACAGAGAGGAGGAGGGGTGGGGTGGGGGGGAGACAGACAGGCAGAGAGGAGGGGAGAGAGAGAGAGAGAGAGAGAGAGAGAGAGAGAGAGAGAGAGGGAGGAAGGGGAGACACAGAGAGTGAAAGAGACAGACAGAAGGGGGAAGAGAGACTGAGACGAGTGAGAGAGAGAGAGAGAGAGAGAGAGAGAGACAGGCAGGCAGAGAGGAGGGGAGAGAGAGACAGAGAGCGAGACGGGGGAGGTGCCCGGCAGATGCCCCAGCCCCAGCGATGCCCGCTACACCACTGGAGCAGCGTCAGGATGAACATCCTACACCGCATCCCCTCGTGCCCCTCCAGGGCCTGGGCGGGAAGAGCTGACGCCCCCAACCGCTCCAGGAGGGTGTTTACAGGACAAGGCAAACCAGGGGCTGTCGGTCACCCCGGCTCGAAGGGCCAGGCCCACACTCGTGGGTCATGGTTGCACCTCTGTGTCTGCCACCAGGAGCCATGCAGGGCAAATCCAACCCTGATGGGGTCATTCTGGCCAGGTCACTGACACCCCCCCCCCCACACACACACAGGGGACATCTGGCGTGTTGAGGGGGCGTGTTGGGCTGTCACACCTGGGGGTACCACTGGCACCCAATCGAGTGGGTGGAGACCAAGGATGTTGAACAGCCTGCAGTGCGCAGACGGCCCCCCCATAGGAACCCTCCCACCGAGTCCTCAGAGCACCAGGCGGAGCCGCGGCCGCGAGGGGGACAGGGCTGGCCTGCGCACGCCAGACGCCCCACGTGAAGGGGGTGGGCTCAGATCAAAGTGAAACAGCCTCAAGACCAGCGGGTCCAAGTCCATTCTGGTCATACGTATAAGAAGGTTCTAGAAGCTGGCAGTTCGTTTCAGCCTTGGGACGGATGATAGAATGTGGTTGTAATATACTTTCCCATCATTCTGATTATTTTTTTTAAATCTTTATTGTTGAAAGTATTATATATGTCCCCCTTCCCCCCCATTGATTGCTGCTAGCTCGCCCCCGCGCCCACCCCAGGCCTCCACCCCGCTATTGTCTGTGTCCATGGGCCATACATATGTGCACACAAGGTCTTTGGTTGATCACCTCACACCCACCCACCCTCCCCCGCCTTCCCTCTGAGATTCCGCACTCTGTTCCCTGCGTCCATGTCTGTGGATCTATTTTGTTCATCAGTTTATTTTGTTCATTAGGTTCCACATATGAGTGGGATCATGTGACACCTGTCTTTCTCTGATGGCTTATTTCGCTTAGCAGGATGCTCTCCAGGTCCCTCCATGCTGTCTCCAAGGGTAAGAGCTCCTTCTTTTTCTATGGCCATCACCCTGATTCTTAGCTATCGTTCTGGTTAATACAATGGCTGGCCAGTTCTTATTCTTTGCCTTATCATATTCACAGAAAACACTGGGCATTTATTCACCTACTTACTAAAGTATATTTGCTAAAAATAAAAAGAGGGAGATGCTGCTTAGTTACGCGGGATTGTGTCAGTCTTATCACCGAGGAAGGAACGTCACCACAGTTTGGTGCCACAGGACGTGCGTGGGGCCGGGACGCACATGCACAGGGTCTGTGCTAACAGAAGCCTTCAGCACCGCCTCCCTCGCCTTTTCTTTCCTTCTGACCCTTCCGTGCCGTACGTACCAGGTTTCGCCCAGACAGGACTTCTAACAGCGCCATTAGGATTCTGCCGTCTTGTATGTCAATGAATAAATCTTTCACTTCCAGAGGAGGGTCGCACTGCGCAAGGAGGGGAAGAGGTCGGGCGATTAGAGACCTGTAACTCCCGGAACTAGTCCCCGTGTGTGGCTGTCACTCAAGAGAGAACTCCCCAGCACCCACATCCGTGCACGGGCAGTCAGGCCCATCCACAGAGGCCCACCCTCCCCAGGGGATGCCTGAGCAGCAGGGGGCCTGGGGAGCTGCGGGGGGACGGTGTCAGGGGCCCCATCGAGCGAGTGACCCTTGGGGACCCTCCTAATATGATACCTCAGACCCCAGTCATATTACCCCCACGCTGCTCTTCAGGGTAGAAAGAACAGGCTTGCCAGAGAGTTAAGCCTCCCACTGATGAACTAATTCTAGAAGCAGGGCTCACATCAAACGCCCTGGGGCGAGCCCTTCGCCTCAGGTTTGGGGACCCCGAGGCTCCAAGAGGCTGGGCGACGTGCCCAGTGTTTGGACGAGTCAGCTCTTTGGTGCAGTCCTGTTGCATCAGGACACACTGGCTGACCACAGTGCCGCCCGACCCACCCCGCAAGGGCATGACCCTGGGTCAGTGACCCTTTGGGACTCAGTCCAGATGTCAGCAGGGCTCCCCTGTCTCCAATGCTCCTTGGTCCAAGCATCACGCCTTCCTGAGGGGCCTGTGGTCCACGTCTGGAGGTGGGGCACCCCCGGCCGCGGAAGCCGGAAGGAGGCTGGTGTTGATGGCCACACAGCTGGACACACAGCTGGCCCGCTAGATGCTGGTAGTTGGATGAAGGGAGAGAATCTTCCCTTCCACCCCCAAGTCTGCAGGTCTGCCAGGATCTCAGCATTTGAGAGGCTGAATTAGATGAGCATTTATATGTTCAGGAATACAACACAACACATGCTCATTATAGCAAATTAAACTAATTAAAGTTTTAAGAAGTTGATTGGTGGGATGTGACTGCCTCTTGCCTCCACCACATCAGGCTCCCGAGATAAACTGTTCTCTCAGATGCACCTTGCGCCTGTCCCACGAAGAGGCAAGGGGGTAGGACACACCTGAGTTCAAATCCAGGTCTACCCTGACTGAACTTGGCCTTGGCATTTTCCTTCACCTCCCTGGGCCTGAGTACCCTTGGCTGCAAGGTCAGGACTGGAATCCGACCCACCACAGGGACGGGAGCTGCAATGGGGTGAGGTCGTACAGGTAAAGGCCTGTCCTCCCCCACAGCACCTGTGCCCCAGACCAACACCACCCGTCAAACCAGTTTCCTATGGAGGGGCTACCTCCCTGCAGGTCTCGGGGTGCCCAGCCGTGGATGCCTCAGGGCTGGGAGTCCTGCAGGGAAGTGTCCTTAGCCGGTGCCCCTCCGCAGGGAGCCACTCTTTGAGCATCGTCTCTATGCCCCACTTGCTTCTCTCTCTGGGTTCCTGGGGTCGGTAAATGGCACCCTGGGCCCTAGCTCACCAGGTTCTCCCGCTGCCTGAGGAAAAGGCTCCTCTCCACAGGGGATCTGGGGGGTGGAGGGGCCTGGCCGGGAGGAGGTAGACGCCCCACTCCCAGCCCGGCATTCTTCTCTGAGCCTAGACCTGGAGGGCCTGCTGTCTAGGTGGCTGTGTCCACCAAGGGTTTGGCTCGACGCAGCCGGGAGCCCACAGGGCCGCTCGGATGCTCCAGTGCAGGGATCTGCACACTGGGCTTGCCGGGCCCCTAGGCTTCAGCAGAACAGGGTGCCCTCCGGGGGCTGGGGGCCAAGAAGGAGGCTGATCCATTGCACCCCCTCCAGCTCCTAAGGGCCTTTGTTCAGGGTCTCATGCAAGGCTTTGCTTAAAGAAAGGCTTCTGTGAACTAAAGCTTTAATGCTGCCTGGTGAAGAGCTACTGCAACAGAACCTCCAGAACAGGGTCCATAAACCTGCATGCTAATGAGTCCCACCCGATGCTAATGTGCCCCGCCCAATGCTATTGAGCCCCACCCAATGCTATTGAGCCCCGTCCAATGCTAATGAGCCCCACCCAGTGCTAATGAGCCCCACCCAATGCTAATGAGCCCCCATCCAATGCTAATGAGCCCCCACCCAGTGCTAATGAGCCCCACCCAACACAGATTCCCTTTACGTTTCAGTGCTGGGGCCTCTGCAACATTAAACAGTCAGGCTGGTGCTCTCTGCTCCCGGGGACAATGAAAGGGGGTGTCCACAGAGGTGGTGACCCCGGAGACTCACGGTGGAGCTGGGGCCCAGGCACCCTTTCCTCCAGGAAGGCTCCTGCCCGGCCAGCCTTGGAGGCCTGTGGTGTCCAAACACAGGGCGGTCCCACCCACAGGTGCACAGCAAAGGGCTTCGCTTCCAGGGCAACAGCGACTGCCTTTGAGCCACAGGCAGGTTCTTTTCTCTGCAAACTCCCGCAGCCCCTTGGGAGGTTCCAGGCCGAGCACCCGGGTGTCGGGTATGGAGCCTCTCCCGGAAACACTTTCCCTGCTAATGGGAGGCGGCGATCGAGAGACCCGAACCAACACCCCCTGATGGACGGACAAACAACGTTTCCGCGAGCAGCCCGGACTGTGGCCGAGCCTCCTGTGCGAGTAGAACTGGGAGGATCTGGGAGCCTGGGCGGCAGCGGCAGCGCTCGGGCCTTGGCCGGGCCTTGGCCGCAGTCCACCCTGCGCGAGGCAGGCGGAGGAATTGAAACGGCTCCAGGACAAACACTCCGGGCCGAACGTTCCGTGGGCTTCATGAGATCGGTATGGCCGAGCAAACAGCACCCCCAGGGCTTTCTTCATGATCTAAGCCTTCGGTAAATGAAGGAATTTTTCCAGAAGCCAGAGCCTCGGTAAATATTTCTGACAGCCTTCAAATTGCAGGTAAGCCCAATTCCCCCAGGAGGCCTGGGTTTCCTTCCCATGAAAGGCTGCTCTTGAACGTCTCGGGGTTGGAAACGGGGCTGTTAATTTTGCCCCGTTTATTAGGCATCAGTTCCAGGTGCTGCCTGATTTATCCTCAGAGTGGGCGCGGCCCACCTGCCCGGACGGAGCCGAGCCGGGCCAGGCCAGGGGGAGAAGCCCCCGTAGGATAAATGCTAACGGAGGGATTTGCTCTATTCCCCTCTGTACCTCCCTCTATTTACTTTTTAATTAAAAGCAAAAAAAAAAAAAAAAAAAAGAACGGAAGAAAGCCGCCACGGCCACACTCCGTCCACTGGGAGGAACTGGCCACCCTCGCACGCATCGGGCGAATCTGGAGTTCAATGAACTCAGGCCTGGGACGCGGACTCCCTTTTTTCCAGAAGTAACACTTCTCTTTACGAGCCCTGGGAAATGCACCCACAGTCAAGTAACTGGCGAATGATTTTTACCGCTTCACCCACGACAGGGAGGCTCGCCCCTGAAGAGTTCAGGAGCCTCCTGGGTCAAGGGTACCCCATCCCGCAGGTGGGGGACAGAGGTGTGGGTGGCCAAGTGCTGCCAGGGAAACATCCGAGGCCCCGAAAATCAACTCCGTGAATGAAAATTTCGGCCAAGAGCCCCACTCCCCACAAACCACATTCATTTTCTCTGCTGCCTAACCAGCCGCTCCCATGGTTCCCTCTCAGGCCCTCATTTGGGTTAAGTCTAGGACAGTCCGCAGTCACTCCTGTCCCTGTGAGGGGACAGGAGAGAAGGAAGCACTAGCCCACCGGACCTGCCAGGCTGAGGAGGGAAGGAGGCTGCGGCTGCCTGTCCGGACACCCAGACGGTGGGATGTCAGAAGAAACAAGTGACGCGGGTGGGATGAGTCCCGGTGAGTCAGCTTTCTGCTAAAGAGCAAAACAGCTCAGCCGGTGTGGCTCAGGGGTTGAGCATCGACCTATGAACCAAGAGGTGAGTCCTGGTTCGATTCTCCGTCAGGGCACAGGCCCGGATTGCGGGCTGGATCCCCAGTTGGGGCGTGTGCAGGAGGCAGCCGATCGATGATTCTCTCTCATCGTTGATGTTTCTATCTCTCCCTCTCACTTCCTCTCTGAAATCAATCAATCAATAAAAAGGTAGACCTTTCCTTCCCCAACTAGACTGACGGCCCCCGGAGGATAGAACGCGCCTTACTCACCTCCCAGTTCCCGGCCCGGGGCGCGATGCCAGGCCGTGAGAACACACACTGTGGAGGTTTAAATGAATGAATGACAACAACAACCACAGAAACCCATTGCCCCGCGTGCCCTCACCGGGCTCCCCAACTGTACTCGGTTATGGATGGGCCCTTCGTCACCCAAACCCAGGGGCCCGCTTACCTTCTCCAGATGGAGGTTTATCCACCGAGTGAAGGTCCTCTTCTGCACATTCTCCCTCTCCTCTGAGAACAGAGAAACGCGTCAGCCGGGCACAGAAACATGGACGAAGCCCCACCTGCTCCTCCCCAGGGGGTCGTGGGCGGATGGCAGGCAGCCCCGAGGGTCCCATGGACGAGCTCAAGGGGCTTGGCAAGGGGTTGGGTGGCACCTCGCGTCCACCATCCCCAGCGTGTCCCGTAGATGAAGCACCACAAACTGAGACGCACAGAACAAAATGCTCTACACGGCCCTCACGTGAAGCATTTGGGCCCTTGACTCTGCAGCTTTAGTAAAGTGCTGGTGGTGGCTCGGCGGTTGAGCATCAACCTATGAACCAGGAGGTCACGGTTCGATTCCAGTCAGGGCACATGCCCGGGTTGCGGGCTCCATCTTCAGTAGGGAGCGTGCAGGAGGCAGCTGATCCATGATTCTCTCTCATCAATGATGCTTCTATCTCTCTTTTCCCTTCAATAAAAATATATTTGTTAAAAAAGAAGCGCTGGTGGTAAGATACAAATTAGCCACAGGTGATGGCGCTGCCACCCGCCTGGCCGAAGCCATGGGGCTGAGGAGCGGGGACCCAGGAGAGATGGGGCAGGCGGAGGCCAGCGATTAGGGGTTGGGGTGCGGGCTCTTGGGGTGTACCAGCGTGGGGTGGAGAGAACGGACAGGCCTGGGTTTGGACTCTCACTCGGCCCTGTCATCTCCCAGCGGGATGCTTTTGGCCAGCCGCCCGTCCCCATGTGGGACCTGCTCACTCCCAGGCCGCCCTCAGGGACCTGCGATCCCCAAGTCAACTCAGCACAGCACCTGGAACAACGGCTGTTCATTTACTTTATTTCACATTTTGTTGCTATTCTTTCTAGAGCCAAGAAACATGTGACCTCCTCCCGGGAGGAGGGTCCTGCAGGAGCCACAGAGGCCAGAGGGGCCAGAAACCAGACGGTGCCTCCTCCGCCGACAGCGCCCCATACAGGCTCCTAGGGAAAGAGCTTCCCTTTCCAGGAGTCCCTGCCATCAACTCTGTTTCCGTTCATCTTTACACCTGACAGCGCTGCCTGCGAGCAGAGACTTATCTTACAGATGAACGAAAAGGGGCCCAGCCAGGCACCAGGACTGCCCAGGGCACCTGCTGGAGAGGCAGGACTGGGCTTCACCCTCAGGTCAGTCTGCCTCCCATGGGCACTCGGAAAGGGGAGGTCTGGGTTCAAATCCAGGTCTTTCAATTACGGCAAAAACATCGACAATAACAGTAACAGAGATTGGAAAACATTTACCAAGCGCTCGCTGTGGCAGGTGCCCATCTAGGCCCTTCACCCTCGTTCACTGTTCTAACCCTCCTACCACCCGTGGAGGCGGATGGGAAACCTGGGGCACCTGCCAAGGTCACGCGGTCACTAAGGTCACCGCTCCTAGTTTGAGATGAAGAAACGGAGGGTCAAGTAAGGAATGAGCAGCGACGCTGGGACTCGGAGCTGGTGCCGCGCTCCTCCCCCTCCTCCCCAGCCCTGTGGCGGTCCTGGCCTGGCCCCCCTGGACCCGAAGGTTGTTTGGAGATGTGGCAGCCGGGTCCCAGGGCTGGGCCCGCTGGCAGCCCCGCCGGCTCAAGCCGCTACGCCTCTCAGGAAGCTGCCTCTCTAGTCACCGAGTTCTGGGTTTCAACAGCCGGGGACACATCACACATACTTCAGACCATTTCACGTTTCTTTAGAAAACATTTCATAAGCAAATGAGAGGCCATTTATCTCCTGCGGGAGAAAGAAGGCTACAGTTTTCTCTAATGACTGTGGTTCTTTTTTTTCCTCTCGGCCTCATTACTGGGTAGATAGTGGTGCCCATAAATCAAATTTTAATATTGTGCCCTTCAATCTTTTTAATTGAAGGGCCAGCAGACAGTAATTATGCTTTATGAGACGGATTTTTCTCTCTTTTTCCTCCTTTTCTATAAGGGAAGGTCGCTGGCAAGTAGGCCTAAGGGTTAAGTGTCTAATTCTTGTAACTGGTGCGAGGAAGAGGAGGGAGAAAGGGAGTTGAGAGAACTGAGGTAGGGAGGGGGGCCTCTGCTGGGGGCATGAGCTTCAGAGTCTCGGAGCTTTCCAGAAGGTCCGAGACACCTCCCCAAGCCCCACTGGAGACCTTGGTGCCTCTGCAGCTTTTTGCACAGGTGGGTGTCCATCTCTCTGTTGACGGGCACTTAGCTACTTCCCGTTTTCGCCGTTACGAGCACCCTTGTACAAGCGCCCGGCATGTGGCTCTTTGTGCACAAGCGCATGCATACATGTCTCCTGCTTGACAACTAGAAGTGAAACTGCTGGGTCTTAGTGGTAGGCACATTTAAAATTTTAATAGCTACTTCCAAATTGCCCTCCCAAAAGGCTGCCCCAGTTTATACTTTCGCCCCCAACTGTCTTTAAACAAGTTTATGGGGATTGTAAAGTATTTATACACACGTTCTAGCACTCAGGCTGGTTCCTCCACATGGCGTCAGAGAGAGCAAAGTATGAAACAGAAGTACATTCAGTGGAAGCCCGAGAGAACCTGGGTTAGGCTGCTGGTTTAACTGTGCAGAAAGGTGAAAATGAGGAAGCGGGTGTCTGTTAGTCTATATATGCCTCATCCATCCACCCATCTTTCCACCCAACCATGTATTCATCCTTCCATCTTTCCATCCATCCATCCATCCATCCACCCACCCAACCATGTATCCATCCATCCATCTTTCCATCCTTCCACCCCACCATGTATCCATCCTCCCATCCACGCTTCCTCCCATCTGATAGTTATTCAATGATTATTACATGCCAGGAACTATGCCAGACCCTACGGGCAAAATCAGATAAAGAATTAAGCACTCACAGAATCAGCACTCCAAGAATTCACAGCCAAGTAGGAGAGAAAACACAGACACCACGGAGCACCCATGTAAGGAGAAATGAATTAGAAGTTTCTAGGGTGGGGACATGGTTTCAGACCCCCGGGGGTGCTCCGCCAGGGACTCTAAGAGGACCCCACGGTGCAAGTGGGACACGGAGGGGCTCCTGAAGACCAGGACATGTGTCTCACTCTGCCCTGACCAGGGCCAAGCTCTGGGAGGCTTTCCTTCCATCCCAGCCATGGTCAGTGGGCAAATCCTAGCACATACAGTTCAGCGTGGACAGCAAAGCTGACCCACAGGAGCGCAAGGTGGTGACTGAAGTTATGAGGGAACCATAAGACTAAACCACAGCCTGGCCGGTGTAGCTCAGCGGTTGAGCATTGACCCAAGAACCAAAAGGCCACCAGTTCGATTCCCGGTCAGGGCACATGCATGGGTCATGGGCTCCATCCCCTGTGGGGGGTGTGCAGTAGGCAGCCTATCAATGATATTTCTTTCTCATCGATGTTTCTATCTCTCTATCCCTCTCCCTCTCTCTCTAAAAAATCAATAAAAATATTAAAAAAAAAAGACTAAACCACAAATAACAGACGAGTCCCAAACTGAAACTGGGTGCAGAGACCATACTTTCTGGACCTGAAACTGGGACACATCACTCAATACACAGCAGAGAGAGCGTGTGAATTTGGACCATCACGTGAGAGCCACACGCCATTAGCTGGGCGACCTGGGCAAGTTCACAGCTTTCAAAAACCTTTGCTTTAGTCCTCCCTTTGCAGAAGGAAGGTGACTGTGCTGTCACCCAGACTTCGATCGGATCACCTCCACTCGCCCCGGCCCCCCACCCCCCGCTCCACGGGCACGCCCAGCCTCAGGCCGCGGTGCCTGGTGTCCCACACCAGGTCTGCCGCTCCTTCAGGGCTCCCTCCACCTCGAAGCCCCCACCCCCCGCTGCAGGCCTTTGCTACTTCTGGCCTGCCAAGGCTCCATAAACTTTATATAGTTTCCATAAAGCCAACGGCCCCTTTTTTCCACCGCACCTATCACGTTGTAAAGGTGTAGGAAACCATTGCCCGGGAAGGGTCTGGCCTTCTCACACGGCGTTTGTGGGGCCCTTTGTGGGTTTCCTGGGCAGCGAGAGTAGTAACAGTGCTGTAAAATGGCCAGCCCCGGCTCTGCCTGGCCGGCCAGGGTGGGCGAGGAGGTCACCAGGCCCAGGACTCCGGGGACAGAGATGGAAAGGGAGGCCCAGCCTTCCGGCTCACCCAGGGAGGCCCAGCCTTCCGGCTCACCCACCATCGCTATCCCCAGGCGTGAGTGGGGTCCCTGCTTTGCCAAACGCAGACAGTGTGCAAGCTGTCGGTGGCAGGCTCAGGAGGTGGGAGCCACGGAGGGAGGGACACAGCTGAGCGCAAACACTGTCGTTTGCACAGCAGGCGTGGCCCTCTCCCTCTGCCCACGGTCCCCTCGCACCACATCCTTGTCATGTTTCCTCTGTAAAATGTCTGCTCTTCCCGCCCACGAGGAAGGCTTGGTGACTGTATCTGTTTATAAAAACTGTATACTGATCACAAACAATTAAAACCATTAGGAAAGCATATACAGTGGGGCCCTGACTTACGAGTATCCCGACTAACGAGTTTTTTGAGATACGAGCCGTCTCTCTGCCGATTTTTTGCTTTGAGTTGCGAGCTAAAATTCGGGTTACGAGCCAGCTTCAGATACCCCACCGCTAGTTGGCGCAGTGAACGCCACAACATCAGCCCAGCATCACGTGTCTCACTCGTTCCCTTTTGATTTGACATACGAGTAATTTGAGTTACAAGCTCCGTCATGGAAAGAATTAAACTCGTAAGTCAAGGCCCCACTGTAGAAATATATCTAAAATATCTTGAACTCTCAGCATACCCAGAGATCACCACTATTGACATTTTATTGCCTATCCTTCCGGAAGCATGTGCGTACACACACACACACACACATGGAGCTAAGGCTGGAGAGGGATATTACTGCGCACCATTTCAATGTGATCAGTGAACGACGCAGCGTTTCTCGAAGCAGGACCCACAGATCACAGCATCAGCGGCTGACAGGCTAATCCCTGGACACCGCCCCCCCCCCCCCAATTGACCTACTGACTCACTCCAGCTGGGGGTGACGACGGTGCATAGTGTAGGAAGCCGGGTATTAGCTGGGAAGACAAGTGCCACGGCTCCGTGGTCCCCTTGGGCAGAGGAGGAAGGCCGTGGCACATCACCTGGCCCAGGAGAGGCGGCAGGCAGCACGGGGCCCACCGCAGATGCGGAGCCGGGAGGACTGCCACCCCCGCTGGCTCCGGTTCTGTGCGCATCGCTTAGGCAGGAGCGTCGCTTCTGTTCCTTCTGTGGCCCAAGCACTTGCAGGCAGCGGCTGCCGTCCCTGAACGCAGTCGGGAGTCTCCGATCCTGAGAGATGAGTCGGGATTCCCCTGCGAGGACTGAGTTCCCAAAGGGAGCCGTCCCTGTGACATCGTCCAGGTGGGTCCGTGGGGGCACCTGCTTCCAGCTCCAGGCGCTGCCAGGGCAGGAGGAGGGAGGATCGAGGCCCCACCACTCTGTGCTCACTCCTCCAAGCCAGAGTCCAGGAGGCGGAGGGTATCGGCTGGGCAGACCCTCGGTGCCCACGGACCCCGACCGACACCGGGACGAAGGCTCTGGGCAAGCTGCAGGAAGCCACTCCCCTCCCCAGGGAAGCTGAGGAGCAGGAGGAGACCTGGGAGTTAGGGAGCCCACCCCGTGCAGCCGCTGGGAAGGCCTGAAAGCAGCAGTGGGGGCTGCGTCACGCTGCTGTCCACTGACATCCCCGAAGCTGGCCTAGAGCTGTCCCCATTCCACGGAGGAGGAGGCTGAGGCACAGACCTTTAGTAACGTGCCTCTCCCTGGAAGATCGGGATTTGAACCCGGGCTCCAGGGTCACGCTGCCCCATGTGCCTCCCACGTTTGCAGGGTCCTCCGGGTGCCTTCAGCCAGGCTGCTGGCCTCAGTGCCCCAACACTGTGCAGGTCGGCCAGGGGAGTTCAACCAGGGGGGACTCTGCCCCCAGGGCACACTGGCAGGGGCTGGAGACACTTTTGATGATCACAACTGAGGGACATTCCACTGGCATCTAGCGGGTAGAGGCCCAGGACGCTGCTCAACACCCTACAGTGCCCAGGACGGCGGGAATCGTTATAGGACTTCAGTGGTTTTGAGGATCAAATGCATCCCAGCTGCCTTACCCACCGCATGCAGATGGGTGGCAGAGAGTCCACCAGCCGGACTGCCCCCAGCCCATACATGGGCACCCACGGCCCACGGACAGTGCCCAGGGCAGCCAGCCGGGCGGCCCCAGCCTGTCCCCTCCAGCCGCGGTGCCACTGGACTCCCGGGATCCAGGGCGGCTCGGAGAAGGGGCCACCCCGTCTGGACGCGGCCAGGCCCCCGGCCAGGCCCTGCCCGGTGGTTTCGCTCTTTCCCGTCTTTCAACACCTCCCAGAAACACAGCCTCATTACATGGCCCCATGCTGGTTCACTTGAGAAATAAAACTCAGAAACAAATTAAATGGCAATTGCTTTTCAAACAGGAGAGGGGCCAGGCTGCAGGAATCCCGGGCCGGCGTCCTTTGGTTCCGACTCCTGGGGACCACTCCCCCGTCGGCTCTGGCGGCATTAAAGCCGGGGCTCCATGTGGTCTGCACCAGCCGTGATTTTTGCATTTAATTTCCTTTGTTTTTCCTCCTCGAATGTTTGCTCTGACCCAAGTCGCTTTTATCGAGACTTTGGTCATAAAATGTAAAACCCTCCTTGGGACCGCAGGCGGGGCAGCAGGCGACTCCTGCACACCAGCGTGCAGTCCTGGCGGCCGAGCAGGCAGCGCCCCCCTCTGCGGCTCCTCCGCACCTTCGCGCCTTTGTCCCTCGTACGGGCCGGGGATGCGCGGACCCTGGGCCTCGGGACAAAGACAGAGCAGCCGGCTCGAGCCCGCACAGACCGGTGGGCTCCCACTCCTCGCCCCCACGGAGACAAATAAAACTGCCAAACGCATTCTAACGGGGGACTTAGACCCAATTCTCTCACGGGTCCCAGAGGCCACCAATTAACAGGCCCCGTCCCGCGGCTCTGCCTGCCTCTCAGCTTCTCCAAAACACATAACCCGGGGCTCCAAAGGGCGAGTCCCAATTACACACCAAATTAAGTTTTAAGCTCCATAGACATATGTAGGGCTGGTGCCTGCAACTAAAATAAAAACCTGCTCTAGTTTTTTCCTGAGCGCGACTCTACCCTCAGTGCTAAACCTCAGCCCACCTTGATTCATGACAGATGACGCCAGCCAGCCATAAAACCCCAGCTTAGGGAAAGGGCCTTTACATCCACCCAGATGGGGAGCCCGGGCACCGCCAGCCCCGCAGGCGGCCCTGAGGTGAGCAGCCGGTCGAGACGGGGCTGCGGGGTGTTGTCCGGGCGCCCGCACCCACCCGGGCCGCAGACCGCGAGGACGCTCAACCCCAGAGAACACTTAGCCCCAGACTCCAGAAGAGGGAAAGGGAGAGAGGGAAGGGAAGGAGGGGACAGAGAAAAACTCTCTTCACACATCAGGAAGTCTCGCCTCATGTGCCCCCGACATCCCGATCCCTGGGGCACCCAACTTCCTGGCGGGGACCGCACATTTTGGTGATGTTTTTTATACCAGTGTTTTCTTGGAAATGTTCTGGTTTCTCGATATAAACTTTAGCAACTTCTAAAGCAGTGTTTTCCCAACCACGTTCTTCGAGTACTAGCGCTAAAGCCCTCTAAGGGGAGCTGCTGTGTCTGGAAATATTGCCCATTTCCCGGCCGTGGGTACTTATGGCGGGAGAGCCAGGGCTCTGACAAGTCTGGTGATGAAGACATTGGTTTCACTTGTCCAAACTACGCTCACATGAAGCCAGGCCCCTTTCCCGGGTCCAACTAATCACCACTTCCTTGCAAGCACCCTGCTTTGGAGATGTTGAGGGGTGGTCACCAGCGGGGGGAGATGTTCCGTGGGGTCTGCACAGCCACCGAGTTAGGCAGCCACACTTCCTGTGACAGAGACCACCACACGTTCACCAAACCTGGTTTCCTCTTCCTCCTGGGCACTCAGCCAAACCACACTTCCCAGCCTCCCCTGAGGTGGCTGGGCCGATGCCGTGTGGACAGGTGGGCGCAGCCATGCCACCTTCAGACAGGGCCAGCGATCCTCCGTGCCTTGCTCCACTGCACAGAGGCAACGCAAAGGACGGAGAAGACAGAGCCACCGGAGGAAGGAGGCCAGGCTCCCGGGACCCCCTTGGACAGGATCGCCCAGTAGAGATGCCCCACGAGGAATGGCATCGTTGGGCCGCCGGGTGAGTGAGAAATCCTCTTCGCCGTCATTTTGGGTTGTTGCGGTAGCCGTTGCCCACCTTGGCAAATAACACTGCCGGGGGTGAGAACCAGGCGCCCCTGCGAGGAAGGAAGGGAGGAAGGTAACGTTTCTCAAGCCCCTTCCAGGCAGGGAGGCTCCCGTGACGTCCGCTGTGAATCCTCGAGGCAACCTCAACAGGCAAGAATGACGGGAATGTCTCAGAGAGGAAGGCACTGGCCCCAGCATTCGGTGGAAAAACTCAACCCAGCATAGTCACTGTGAGCCGAGCCCCTCTCCCCGGCACCATGACGGGAAGGCTGAGCCCCTGCAAAGCCAATCTTACTGAAGAACCTTCCTGAAGAGGGTGGCACGTGCAGGATGGCTCACCTGCAAGCGAAGGCTGACCTGGGGCTGCCCTGAGGCACAGAGCTTAACAAGCCTGGTAAGAAGCACTGGCCCATGCCCAGCCAGGCCCGCCCACCGGGCTGCCCGGCCCGTGGGGCTCACTGGTTGAGCACCGACCTTCAAACCAGGAGGTCACGGTTCGATTCCCAGTCAGGGCACATGCCTGGGTTGCGGGCTCCGTCCCCAGTGGGGGGCGTGCAGGAGGCAGCTGATCCATGATTCTCTCTCATCATTGATGTTTCTCTCTCTCTTTCCCTCTCCCCTCCTCTCTGAAATCAATAAACATATATTTTTAAAAACCCAAAACAGAAGCATTAGCCCAACCTCTTGGTTTCAGCTATTTTTTTAAAGGACATTAAAAACACTTCATACAAACAACCTTGATTTGCATGCAAATGACCTTGATTTGCATTTTCAAGGACATCTGCCTTAAAAACACCCACCCTCACCCTTTGAATACCAACATTTTTATTACATGCAAAGGCCGCTCAGCCCTGTGAACCAACTGGCCC